TTTTTTCTGGCTGGTCAATGCTTTGGAGATATAAAGTTGAAAATAAATCTTTTAATCAAGAGCTTCTACCTGACTGAGGAGGATTCAAGCCAACTCAAATCCAACAACCCGATCTGAAAGTTCTGCTCACTTTTGGACAACTGTGACAAATTCATCCACAGACATACACAGCATGCTAAAATAAGCCAACAATTTTCTAAATAAAAAATATACAGCATTGTTTAAAAACAAGACAATTGTGTCTAAATCCCAATATTATATGGTTGGCAAGATACACAAAATTTATCAGCGGTACAACGTTAGTGGACTTGAGACCACAAGAAGATTAGTCACAATTTTATTGGAGCAGGTTCAAGGGGTTGAATGGTCTACTCCTGCTCCAATTTCATATGCCTGTACGTTAACTGATCATTTAAAATGTTTTGAATTTGGCTCTGCACCTTTGCAAAAAATTTAACTAATCCTTCTGTATGGTTGTACCCTATCTGTGAGCCAAGTTTTATTAATATCTGTTCATTAGTTTTTGAGAAAAGCAATGACGAATATATTACCTCTGCCCACCCTCAGTGGCAGAAATAACTAACTAAAATAAAAATTGTAGAGTTCAGCTTATTGAAATGGTATATAACAAAAGGTTTCAAATCTAATGTTAATTTGTATTTTGTGAAAAACTGTTACAATATTCAGCACGTCTTTGTGCTGTTTGTGGGAGTATTCCAAATGTGTTTGATTGCAACCAAAATGATTAGTTATTCGCTCCTCTTGACCTGCAGCCAACACACTATATAAAGTCAAAACTTACAACGTCATTGACAAAAAAATCTGCTCATCAATTCACAAGTACTCATGCCATCCAAAAAGCTGTGTGTATTTGAGTATCTTCTAGTATGATTCCTCTCACATGTATTGTTGAGGCTCAGCGATTAGCACTGCAGCCCCACAGTACCAGGGACCTGGTTTGATTCTACCCTCAGGCGACTGTCTGTGTGGAGTTTGTACATTCTCCCCGCATCTACGTGGGTTTCCTCCAGCTACCCCCCACAGCCTAAAGATGTGCAGGTTAGGTGGATTGGCCATGCTAAATTGCCCACAATGTCCAGGGATATGTAGGTTAGATGGATTAGTCATGAGAAATGCAGGGACAGGGTGGGGTGTGAGTCTGGGTGGGAAGCTCTTCAGAGGGTCGGTGTGGACTCAATGAGCTGAATGGCCTGCTTCCATGTTGTAGGGATTCTATGATTCAATTTATAATAAAGCTCAAAAATGCAGAGGATAAAATACAGTTAAGGCAGTTTGATTTTCTTCATAATTTCATGCACCCTACATGACTTAAGGGGACAGCGACTAGGTCAAAACAAGATATAGATGCTTCATTTTTAGTACACGGTACCTGTTGGCTCAATCAACCAATGGCTAACTGCTACATCAACAGTGGAACACAAAGTGTTAGCTCCAGTTCTGAACTATTAGCTATCCCTGCAATCCGCCAAATCCCATGTCAATTGTATATCTCAGTCCCAAACAGGTGGAAATTAACCACCGGAAGTGGTTTACATTTCCTAAACAATTTCATTTTTTTCTCCTTAAAGTTCTTGCATGGTTTGTATTCTTCTTGTCACTGCAGGTAGAATATAGAATGAGCCTAGTACATCAATTCCAACTTGACCATCTATATATTGTTGCAGAGAAGACCCACATTATTTGAGAGAGAAGTTAAACTGGAGTTCGATACCGTAAACCCCTCACGTCGTTGACTAAGTGATTGTGTTTGAGAGAGAAGTTAAACTGGAGTTCGATACCGTAAACCCCTCACGTCGTTGACTAAGTGATTGCCTTGGAGGCCATTAAGGGTTCAGGCAAATAGCCACCTACTGGTGTCAGACCTGCATCAAGTATTTCCTTTGACATCAATTATTTTCTTTGAAATACAAGCTGCAATGGCTATCCTTCTACAATGATTAGCCTTGATACCCTGCAAAGTATTTGGTTTCATAACTAATGCTGCTATGGGAACTAGGAAGAATAAGCTTCCTCTCAAACAGGCCAGCCTCTGCAAGCATAAACACAGAAGTCTCCAAACTGGGAAAGGAGGAGCTAGTCCATGCAGAAAGCAGCAGTCAGAGGCTGCTGAAACGCCAAATGCCAGTGAAGTGATACAAATGATGAACAGCAACAAGGGGAAGGATAAAATCTAGGTGGATATCTGCTGTGAGACTCTGAGTGCTGTCAATAGACCCCACATCAAGAAATTATTGTTCAAAGATCCAACTTTATTTGCAATCTTGTTATAAGGTAGCGACTGTGTATTTGGCTTTGATATCTACCTATTAACAGCCAATATCCAGGCGTAAAATAAATAGTCTGTTGAATGAGGTAAGAGAGGCCTGTTATAGCAGAGAGTGGGGATAAAAGGGTCTTTCTCAGGATGGCAGCCAGTGACAAGTGGTGTTCCACAAGGGTCAGGCTGGGACCACAACTTTTCACTTTGTACATTAATGATCTTGATGAAGGAACTGTGGGCATTCTGGCTAAGTTTGCAGATGATACAAAGATAGGTGGAGGGACAGGTAGTATTGGGGAGGTGGGGAGGCTGCAGAAGGATTTGGACAGGTTAGGAGAGTGGGCAAAGAAGTGGCAGATGGAGTACAACGTGGGAAAGTGTGAGGTCATGCACTTTGGTAAGAAAAATAAAAGCATGGACTATTTTCTAAATGGGGAGAAAATTCAGAAGTCTGAAGTGCAAAGAGACTTGGGAGTTCTAATCCAGGATTCTCTCAAGGTAAACTTGCAGGTTGAGTCAGTAGTCAGGAAGGCAAATGCAATGTTGGCATTTACTTTGAGAGGACTTGAATATAAAGGCAGGGATGTACTTTTGAGGCTTTATAAGGCTCTGGTCAGGCCACATTTGGAGTATTGTGTGCAGTTTTGGGCCCCATATCTCAGGAAGGATGTACTGGCCCTGGAGCAGGTTCAGAGGAGGTTCACGAGAATGGTCCCAGGAATGGAAAGCTTAACATATGAGGAACGTTTCAGGACTCTGGGACTTTACTCATTGGAGTTTAGAAGAATGAGGGGGGGTCTAATTGAAACTTTCAGAATACTGAATGGCCTGGACAAAATGGATGTTGGAAAGATGCTTCCATTGGTAGGAGAGTCTAGGACCCGATGGCACAGCCTTAGAGTAAAGGGAAGACCTTTTAGAACAGAGATAAGGAGAAACTTCTTCAGCCAGAGAGTGGTGAATCTATGGAACACACTGCCTCAGAAGGCTGTGGAGGCTAGGTCACTGAGTACATTTAAGACTGAGATAGATAGGTTCTTGATTATCAACAGGATCAAGGGTTACGGGGAGAAAGCAGGAGAATGGGGTTGAGGAACTTATCAGCCATGATTAAATGGTGGAGCAGACTCGATGGGCCGAATGGCCTAATTTCTGCTCCTATATCTTATGGTCTTATAGCCTTATAGCCTTTGGGACTATACCATGAGGGAACAAGAGGAGCAAGACTCAAATTAAAAATCTGAAGGGAAAGTGATTGGAGAATGAATCAAAATGTTACTCAAAGGCAGCTGCCTGCTGCCTGTTTGACATCTATCAACACTTATACACATGGTCATTTTTCCATTTTCAACAGCTTTAGCAAGTGGTAGTAGTCGCATAGAAAATTGCTACGTGTGGAAATATCAGATTTGTCACAGACTCCAAAAACACATGCTCCACCTTTACACAACAGTACTCCAAATAATTCTGTTACAGGGACCACAGGTTTGCACAGGTGAGGCAACCTCACAGAACTCATCATTTCCCATTAGTCTACAGCCCCAGCATCCAATTATCTTTCTATTAAGTCTGCAACTTTTGATTCTGGCCACCATCTGAAAAACCAAATCAAACAAGTTAATTTCTCTTGGTCTGAAGAGCTATTTCTTGATGTTGACTTTCACCAACTTGTCCTCGTTTGTTTGTACATGCGTAAAGGAATTAACTCAGCCTTTTAATACAGGAAACATAAATAGTTAAACACAAGATAAGGTGCGATTTTAAGTATGAGTGAATATCTGTATCCACACAAGCTTGGTAGAGCTAGGTTATATTGCTGTCTGTACACTGCGCTCTTGCTGTTTAAAGCCTCGACATTACCATACCTTGATCTACGTCTTCTAACATTTTCAGTCTCAATGATGGCCTGTATTAAATAGAAATTTTTCACACAGAAACAGTCCATACGGCCTGCCAAGTTTTAAGCTCCATGTGGGTCACAGTGGCAAACCAATGTAATTCTGGAGGTTCTGCCAACAGTGGAGGCAGACAGGAAATGGCATTAAACACATAGTCTGGTGGTGAAACTACACTCACTACTCAGAAAGCCAATAGTACAAGATATTCACACAATACTCACTGTGACAGTCAACGTGGCTGTTTCTTCTCTCATATGTTGCATCAAAGAAAAGCTCAAACCTATTTTACAGGCCAGTCTGACCCATTGTACATATTGGGGTTAACAGTTAACTTATGAGGAAAGTTTGCAAATACTTGCTTCGTATTTCCTTGAGTGGAGACGAAAGCTGTTCTAATTATGATTTGAGATGATTAAAGGAGTTGGTAGGAAAGAGACAGAGAGACTGACTATTTTCACAGGGAGGCAGGGGGGAGCAGAATACAGATTAAAATTTGAACCAGGCCAATTAGCAAGAAGTAATTCTTCACACAAAGTGGACTGCAAATCTGGAACTTTCTCCTCCAAAAACATTTGAGGCTGTGACTTAATTGAAAATTTCAAAACTGAGATAAGATTTTTAACAGCAGGAATATTCAGGATTACAGAAGTAAACTCATTTATAGGTCAGGCATGATCTAATTGGATAGCAGAACAGGATGGAAGGCAGAATGGCCTCTTTCTGTGCTCCTAATTCTGTATTTAGAAACAGACAGATCCACACACGTAGACGAAGAGACTGCCACACACATAACATTACAGAATTCTATGGATTATTGATACCTGAAGATACGCCATGAAATACACCTTCCTTGGTCCTGGAGCCTGGAGATAAATACATTTAAGAAGAAGAAAAAAAAAATAAAAACCCCTGTTAATAAATTGTCACAAATCACAGCAGCAAAACCTCTTTCCCCAGGCTCAGGTCAAAATTAAGCAGCCAAGACGTGGAGAGGTGTTAAAGGCTAGCATCAACGAAAGCAGGAAAAACTGACAACAACGGGTTGGTCAGCCGGGGAAGAGCCTCGGGGTCTGGAAATAGCAGGGAGCTGCTTGTCAGGAAGGGGTTAAACACGCCATTGCTCCACTTCCCGGGACCTTCTGCCTTCCCCATCCCCACCCTCGCATCTTCCCTCCTCCCTCTAGCTGGACCGCTGGAGAACTGACAGCCTGCAAACAGGTTCAAATCCCACCTGCCCCCGAGGTGTGTCATGTCCAAACAGATTGCTTCAGCAACATAATAATAATGATGACAGCTCCGAAATTAGTGCAAGACAGACATGGGGGGGAGGAGGCGTGGGAAATTTAAAAACCTTAAATTTAAAAGGAAAATAGATCAAATTCAGGTTTTATGTCCTTAAAATTTCAAACTGCAGGAAATAAATTAAATTGGCCTTACACTGACACGTGTCAATGTCTCCAACTCAGTGTACACAGGTCTTCAGAATTCAGCAACGAAATGACCTTGATAGCAACCTTCCCGCTCATCGAATTTAACTCACACACATCCAATGCTACATTCGTTTTAAATTTGTTGAAAAATAAATTCCTTTTCAGCACCCGACAGTTTACGTTTTACAAATCTGCACTGGATTAGTTCTGGGTTTTTTTTTAAACACATACAAAGAAATCTCCCTTCCTCCCGGTACCAAACACTTGATGCTCTGCTTCTCTGTAACTTCCATATTTCGGATTTGGAAGTGTCAGCTATCCTTTCTCCCTGACTGACAAATCACCCCACACACCTTCTTAGCAGAGAATAAAAGGAAAGCTTTCTATTATTCCTCCGTGTTTTTTACACATCCCATCACCACCCCGACCCCGCCAAAGGTGTAAGATTGGGTGAATGGAGTTGTTTTTTTCCCGTGCCAAACATTGCATTTTCTTGTCTGAAAAGACATCCATGAAATTTTCTACCTACCCACATACAGCACCCCATCCTTCGTTTTTCCCGCCGCCTCTGCCACTCCCTGCTTCGTTTTCTCGGCAGCTGCTACTACCCCATCCTTAGCCTTGGACAGCCCTTTCATGAAAACATCCATGGTTACTCTTTGGTCACTAGGCGAGAAGGGAAAGAGAGAGAGAGAGACAGACAGAGATCACACAATAAGTAGCCTCCACAATGATTTAAACCACCTAAAATCTGACAGAACCACAAACGCCGACACGACGTTCAAGTTTACCGTTTGATTTATTTGTCGGAGAGAGAGAAAAAAAAATTAATTCCCCCAGCTGCTCAGTACATCACTGCAGCATCAAGGTTTGGTTTAGGATGGTTGAGCTAAACGCAGCCCAGAGCTGAAACCACCGAAAGCTCCAGCGCCTGGTGTTTGAACAGATTGGTTCTGACTCCAGCTGAGCAGCCCAGCTTCTCCCCACTGCGTTCTCATTCGAGGAAAGCAGACGTGCCTCCTGATTTGTCGGTGTGAAGGACTTTCATCTCTCGGTTCCAACCCACCTCCCACCACCCGTGGGACATTCGACCCCCACCCTCCTTCCTCTTCGCCCTCGGCTCCAACATTTATATAAAACACATCAACAACTTCAATCGAAAGGAATGCTTCATCATCTTGGATCTGTCTCGCCTGTGGAAATTATTCCTCTGTTGCCATGTGCTGAAGATTGTAGCCCTGCAGTATTTTAAATCTTTCAGATGGAGAAATGCACAGCAATATATTTTGACACGTTACCCTTTTTTTGTAGTGACTGGTACGTTTGCTATTAATATAGTATATATGTGTAAAAAAAAACTACCACCTCTCCCTACTCTCTATTTCTGTAAATGGTTTTAAAGATTTAATCCAATGTAATTTCTTGACGACAGTAAACAGACGGGTGAAAATGAACATTTCTGAGATCCTGAATTAATTGCTTGTTTTATTTTTGTTTCTGATGCCAGATTAAATGATGTCATGTGTTGACAGCATTAAAGAGAAAAACCCTCCAATAATTGTGTTTCAGCAATATTTCAATAATAATTTTATACTTTTCTTAGTGCATTGAGTGAAAAGTCACCAAGAGAAGCCTCAGAAAAACTGATGACTTTTGCCATCTGGGGGAAGTGTAAATGCTAAATAGAGCAGAAAGAAATAGTCGCTAGTCACATTGAATCAATTTTTACTTCTGTGCAATGAAAAACAAAATCTGTGTAAGATAAGATGCTGATTGTCCTGTGTATTAAAAAAAGCAAATCTTTATAGTAAGCCCTGTGAGGGATTCAAATAATTGCATTACCATTTGCTGAGGGAATTCTTTCTTCAAGATTTTCTGTGTTAATATGTGAGGGATTGTGGATGTGACAATTCAACAATGGAACATTGCCTCAACAAATCTTTCAAACGATTGTCATGAATGAAATAAGTCCACAAAGCCAGTATCCCATCACCAAGCCACCCTTTATTTACACGTCCTTGCCACTGATCTAGCTCCCACAGAGCCAGATCTCAGAGCGAGCAGGATGTCTGACACTCCTGTTTATATCTGTCAGCCAGGGCTCCCTGATTGGACAAGATTAACAGCCCCACATCCACCATGTCCAACTCAGATTCCAAGATATTATTCAATGCTTGATGGAGAGGGAGAACCCACAGGTCCTGGAACAGTCAGAAAAGCTGTTGAGGAGCCAAACACATTTTCCTACTCCACTGTTTGCAAGTTTGTAATTTTCATATGGTCCACCAGGTGCTTATTCAGGACCATCACACCTACCTGAACTTTATATGATGTGGAGGTGCAGGTGTTGGACTGGGGAGGACAAAGTCAGAAGTCACACAACACCAGGTTATAGTCCAACAGGTTTATTTGAAATCACAAGCTTTGGGAGGGCTGCCCTTCATCAGGTGAAGTGACAGAGAAGCGCGCAGAACACAGAATTTATGGGCAGAGAGATCAAAAGATCATACAAATGGTATCAGTGGCGTATCGAATAATAAGTCCCTGCAGGTGATCCAAAGTGTTAGATATTGTGAGTAAAGTTCAACAGCCGAATAACAAGTGGAGGGGTGACCTATAATCTGATTAAATGAGGCAGAGAGATAATTAAAAAAATTAAAAATAAGATGGTGCTAGAGACAAATCAAATACCTGGAATAACATGATAGGTATAAGAGTCATATGTGTAGGGTTTAACCAAAGTAATAAGTAATCCAAAACTATACAAACTAACTAAGGCAGAGAGATCATTACAATTTATCCAGGTGATGGTGACAAAACAGGACAGTAAGGGAGAGTTACAGATACAGAACGGTGTGGTGTAGTCACATGGTGCAACATGAACCCGAGATCATGGTTGAGGCTGTCTTCCAATCTTCGGGTAAGCGTCCTCCAAGGAAGCCTTTGAGATACACAAAAACACAGAATCACCAAGCAGAAAGTGGTAGCCAAGTTCCGTACTCATGAAGACGGCCTCAACCGTGATCTCGGGTTCATGTTGCACTACATGTGACCCCACCACACTGTTCTGTATCTGTAAAATCTTCCTTACTGACCTGTTTTGTCACCATCACCTGGATAAATTGTTATGATCTCTCTACCTTAATCAGTTTGAAAAGTTTTGGATTACTTATTACTTTGGTTAGACCCTCGGCATACGACTCTTATGCCTATCATGTTATTCCAGTCATTTGGCTTGACTCCACCTTATTTTTAATTTTTAGTTATTCAGTTGTTGACACTTTACTCACACCAGCTAACAATTTGGATCGCCTGCAGGGACTTATTATTCAACACTCCATTCACACCATTTGTATGATTTTTTGATCTCTCTGCTCCTGAATTCTGTGTCTGTATGCTTCTCTCTCACTTCACCTTATGAAGTGGCTACGCTCCGAAAGCTTGTGATTTCAAATAAACCTGTTGGACTATAACCTGTGTTGTGTGACTTCTGATTTTGAGTTTTATATGTCACTAGACCTGATCTTGTGTCGACCATGCCTCTTACTCATGCATGGCCATTTCCGTAGTTCCTATACCAAACTTCATCCCCTGAAGTAAACTGTCTCACTTGCTTAGTGAAGTCTTCTGTCCAACAGTGACGTTCCTGATGCCATTTCAACCTTACCCCGAGGTCTGGGAAGATTAATAGGTTTATTGCTAATGGTACACAGAATTCATTGGATGGAATACTCCAACCAACATTCACTCTAATCTTCTTTTCTGATGCACAAACTTCTGAGGTTTGTCGCCCCAGAACAACACAGGCCACAGTGAGAAAAGTTGGGAAAATCAGACAAGATGTCTAGCAAAGAGCTTTTTATCATTCAATAGGTCTCATTTTTAAAGCAAGCATTGAACAGTGAAATGGGATTCTCACTAGTGAGCAACAAGAGGCCAATTTGATGCATTAACATCTCATTAGTGTGTAGTTTCCCAGTTTCCCACCAAATGGAACTAGACACGGAAAATTCCCTACAAAGTCAGAGTACCCAGCGACTCCAGATTGTCACTTGTTCCTTCCGATCTTTTTGTTGGACCACTAGCACGAAAATCGTAGGGCACATTCCATAGGCAGTGACCACATCCGGCTGCCGTCTACACACATTGACTTACTAGCCTCACTGCATTATCATGGCATATCTCTGATCCACTTACAACATGGTTCTGCATTTCAACACTGCACTTTACAGTGTATTTATCATTCCTATGCTTCTGCAAGAAGACTTGCTGTGCAGGGACAGGTGCCATATCATGGATTGCTCCAGGGTGTATTTCAGGGCTGCTTAATTGCTCTCTTAGCTCTCATTCACTTTGTGCCAACTCCCATGCTCACAGCATCTCTGCATTGCATTTTTGCACTTTGCCTCTTCAGCCAGAGCTTAAAGGCTCAAAAGTGTTGCCTTAGCTTCAGTGCAAATGCAGTTGTCAACAGTTTTCAGACAAGGGGGTAGACATATTGCTGTACAGCAACATGATATGTAAATCTAACACCTGCATTAAGGGCTCTCAGCGTCCATGCCAAATACACTGTATGTAGTTTCAGCAAATGGTCATGTCTCAAAGCCTAAGGGGAGTAGACATCAGCCAGGTCAAGGGATATACCCTTCAAGCAGGGGATCCCAGCACAGTAAGTCAAGGGCAGCCTCCAATATCAGTCCACAGACATGTATAGGGTGTGGTCAGTTGACTGTTCAGGGCAGTCACGATCGGGGTCTATGAATCTACAGTCCGGTGAGTGGGCCATGGTCAGCCCTGTGACTTTAGAGCAACTAGCCCAGGGACTTGTGGAGGAAGTGAGTTGGGAAGTGGTATAGAGATCAGTCAGGGCTCTGGTTACTCATCATTTGGTGCTACTCATCTGAGTCACTCAAGAGAGAGGGCTACAGTCAGTCCTGGGGCCCATTCACTAAAATGAAAAGTGATTTATTAGGGGCCATTGCTATGGAAGAAAAACTGGGGAACTTAACTGTGGGGGTTGGAGACAGAATGCTGAATTGCAGAGGGGATTGCTGTTATGAAGTGGGGTCAACGCAACATATAAAACAGGGAGATGGTTGAGCATTGAAGGAAATGTGGTCACGTGGAACTGGGAGCATCAACAGCCGGCGGCACCTTGGCCTCCATCAGAGGGAGCAGTGCTCTACAATGTCTGACATGTTTACAGCCTGAGGCGAGGGGTTTAAAGTGGGAGATGAAGATTTAGGTAGTTGGGTCGATGAGGGTTAATAGCAAGGGATAACAAGAAGGGAATATGTATATTGGGGGTTCACCACTAGTAAGAGGCCAAGCCAGAGACTCACTGCACAAGATGTGCAGGTAACAAGTATGCAATGGAGCTGAAATGGCTACCAGCAGACCCAGAGTGGGTGGGGTAAGTGCTTCCTTTTGCAAGAGAGGGATCTTTGATTTTGAGTGTTACAAGGCCATTCAAAGGACAACGGCATTACACAGACACCCATTGAGTAAAGTTGAAAGACACCTTCGAGCATTACATGCTATGTGAACATTAGGAATTAGACCTGTGTACAATTCAAACCCTTGCCTCAAGCTCCCTTGGGCTGCATCATGCAAGACCCAGAAACCAGTCTCATTAATGGCTGAGATGCAGAAGTAATGCACTGTGGCCTGGTAAGATATACGCTGGTCACCAATGCAGCAAGCACCTTTGAAGTTCCTGGAGCCTGAAAACGGTGCAGGAAATGCTCACTTCACACCTTGGACTATCTAACATTGTGTGGCACTGAGGATAGCTAGCCTCTGTCTCTTCAATATTGCAGTTGTGAATGGACAGCCATTCGCTCACATAACAAATGAAGAAAAGTGAGCATATATTAACAAATATGATTACGTTCCTACGATGACACATCATCTGAGCCACCTAAATGCCCTTACAAGATCAGACATTGCTGGAG